CGAGAGCCAAGATGCGATTGAGGACCTCGAATTCTGTGCCGCCACCGTCATCGCGGTTGAAGAGACGCAGCAGATCGCGGCGAGAATCGAGTTCACGGGGACTCCCGTCAAGGAATGGGGAGGCGCGAAGCCTAATGGCGAAGGCGTCTTCTTCGAGGAGTTTGTTATCTATCAGCTCGAAGATGGGAAGATTTCGAGTGTGTGGTCGGTCGTGGACTTGGACGCTTATCGAAAATGCATGGGTCCTATACTCACGTACGAGGAGCACTTGTGCGAACCTCGTGAGAGGATCTCTGAAGTGGACATAGACAAAATTTGGGATGGCACCTTGGTGCCGGTGAAAACACCCTCTTGTTATGATAGCGACTCAACATAAACTCGCATTTTGATAATGATTAGCTTCACTTCGCTATGGGACTTCATGGATAAGCTTTCCGCAACCGGCTTTCCTTAGTTTACACGATGATATTGTCGGCTGTGCTTGATGAGGGGCCTGAATCAACGTCCACTGGGACTGAGCTTGGGCGTATCCTGTTAGCTGACCCACTGCATTTCTCCATGTTCCTGCGCAAGCGGGTGATGCTAGCAAAGCCGTGTCTCTGGCTTCGTCCAAGGATGCTAATCAAGGTAAGCTCTTTTGCTGTAGGCTAAAACCCGGTCTCATCGTATGCGAAAGAGAGTTTTAAGGCCGACTTGAGAATGGAGAAGGAAGCAGAGTTGACCATAGATGCCAGACAAGCGAATGCTCACGCAATGAGATTGAAAGAGTGAAACCCCTACCTGCCATTTCACACATGCGGAGGCTCGTGGCAAGTCAAAAGAAACGGCGGATGAGCTACCAGGTGAATGCCCAGAGATGATGCTACATCTTGCATCGAAGCGGTCCAACCCAATCTCAAGAGCCCAGGCTTTATTGCGGGGTGTTAGCATACGGTATGTAAGGCTAAGGTAATGGGAAGGACTTGATGACTGTTGAACTGTCGATGACTTGCTGCCCCACCGGCATCAGGAAATCACAAAACCCGAATACACTATGATCAAGTCATGATGCATGCCATGCTCTCATCTAGCGCCAGGCACAATGTGCTCGCACACATGGGGCAGACACACTCTCTTTGGCGGTAAAAAAGAGAGCCCCGATATTGTTGTTGATGCGCTCGAATGAGAGTACGCCATCGCCACGCTCGGAAACCGGTAGATGACGAGGGTGGATCCGGGGGATATCCCAGACGAGGCCGCGGACCGCTCCCTCTTTCTCCAACTTCCCCTCATTCTTTTCATCTCAGGAAGTCAAAAGTTCTGCCCTGGGCTCCTTGTTCTCCTTGTCCTCCAGGTGTTTCCCCACAGGAGCGGAGGAGGGGAAGCTTGCAAGGGGGGTTAAATAACGTTGTCCTACTTTCGCGTTCGCGCGCGAAGCTTCAGACATCAACCGGTGCGCGGCCGATGTAACGGTACTCTTCACAACTTGCGCGCAAACACCCAATCCAAGCTGCTGTTGCTTCTGCTCCGGACCATAGACCCTTGCTCTTCCAATGCTCGCAGATGAAGACGCGAAATATCAACCGAGCTGGAGCAAAGAAGCCCCCCTGGTATCCGTAGAGTCCGCGGGGCGAAATCTTGCCAAGACTGCTCGTCCTCGGTCCTGAAGCCACCGACAAGCGACGCTCACGATGTGGGTTCTGCCGTCTGGGCGAAGAGACGTTCACGCCGGGTACCACCTTATCTGAGCAGAATGCGGGGTGGTCAGGCACATCAGGAACACCGGTTCATTGCGAGACGATCGTTCCCAAAGGCCCTGTCCATCCGGGCGAAATGAGCACATGTTCTTCCTCCACCCGGTTCGCATGCGATGCTACCCAAGTATGGCAACATTTTCCCCGGTCCATTGAGTCCCGTGGGGATCAGCTCATCGTGTAGCCGTGGAGCTTGAGGTTCCTTATAAAGAGGACGCCCCTTCGTGGCCGACTTAATGTTGCCTTCAGTTTGACACCCTCGCGTCATTGCAACCTCAATCTCAAGCAATAGGGAAGCAAACATGGTGTCGCTCAAGTCGGCCATTCTGGCCGCTACTTACGCCGTTTCGGCTGCTGCTGTCGATGTCTCCATCAAGGCATCCGGTGGCAATGCTACCAGTGGCCACCAGTACGGATTCCTCCATGAGGTTTGTGAACCAATGCCGCCTCTTCCCTGAAGGTCTTCCAACTGACATCTGCAATCTCAAGGACATCAACAACTCTGGTGATGGTGGCATCTACGCGGAGCTGATCCGCAACCGAGCCTTCCAATTCAGCCCCAGATTCCCCGTCTCCCTCGACGCCTGGCACGCTATCAACGGCGCCAAGCTCACCCTCAAGAACCTCACCGAGCCCCTCTCCAGCGCCCTCCCCGTCTCTGTCAACGTCGCCGGGGGCAACGGCTCCGGCGTCATCGGTCTCGAGAACGACGGCTACTGGGGTATGGACGTCAAGGTGCAGAAGTACACTGGCTCTTTCTGGGTCAAGGGCTCGTACGACGGCGTCTTCACCGCCAGCCTCAAGTCCGCTCTCAACGAGGATGTATTTGGCTCTGTCGAGATTGAGTCCAAGGCCTCGGCCGACGAGTGGGTTGAGCACGAGGTTGAGCTTACTCCTGAGAAGGATGCTCCCAACAGCAACAACACGTTTGCCATTACCTTTGATCCTGCGGTACGGAGCTCTTGCATATCTCCAAACTGAGCCACATATACTGACGACTCGCGTTTAGGGCGCTGCCGACGGCTCGCTGGACTTCAACCTGATCAGCCTCTTCCCTCCCACCTACAAGGGCCGCAAGAACGGTCTTCGTGTTGATATCGCCGAGGCTCTGGCCGGACTTCACCCCGTAAGAACTTCTCCTGACCCCTTCAAGTTACATCAAGAACACACCTCTGACTTGTAAACAGAGCTTACTTCGCTTCCCCGGTGGCAACATGCTGGAGGGCTTGAACAACGGCACCTACTGGGACTGGAAGGACACCCTCGGCCCCCTCAAGAACCGCCCCGGTTTCCAGGGCGTCTGGGGCTACCAGCAAACCCACGGTCTCGGTCTCGTCGAGTACCTCGAGTGGGCCTTGGACATGGGTCTGGACGTCGTCATCGGCGTCTGGGCCGGCCTCGCCCTCAACGGCGACGTGACCGCAAAGGAAGACCTCCAGCCCTTCATCGACGATGCACTCGACCAGATTGAGTTCATCCGTGGACCCGTCGACTCCAAGTGGGGTGCCCGTCGCGCCGAGCTGGGCCACCCTGAGCCTTTCACGCTCGAGTACGTCGAGATTGGCAACGAGGATTGGCTCGCCGGATACCCTGGCGGCTGGACCTCGTACAAGGAGTACCGCTTCCCCATGTTCATGGAGGCTATCAAGGCCAAGTACCCCGACATCACCGTTATCTCCTCCGGCGCCACCACCGACGGCGATGGCTTCGAGATTCCTGCTCCCGGCATCGGTGATTACCACCCTTACCGCACCCCCGACGCCCTTGTCGACGAGTTTGACCGCTTCGATAACGACATTGGACACATCGTCGGCGAGGTCGCTGCTACGCACCCCAACGGCGGCACCGGCTGGGACGGCGACCTAATGCCCTTCCCCTGGTGGATCGGCACCGTCGGCGAGGCTGTCTCTCTCATCGGCTACGAGCGTAACGCCGACCGCATCCCGGGAACTTTCTACGCTCCCGTCCTCCGCAACATGAACCGCTGGCAATGGGCCGTTACCATCGTCCAGTTCGCAGCTGACTCGGCGCTGACTACGCGCTCAACCAGTTGGTTCGTCTGGGAGCTCTTCGCTGCGCACCCGCTGTCGCACACTCTCCCTACCGTTGGCGACTTCGGCCCCGCATACTGGGTCGCCGGCAAGAACGAGGCCAAGGGTAGCTTGATCTGGAAGGGTGCCGTGTACAACACTACCGACAGCGCTGATGTTGATATCAACCTCGCGTTTGAGGGTGTCACTGCTGGTACTACTGCCTCCTTGACTGTTCTGACCAACCCCAGCGGCGATCCGTTTGCGCATAACGATCCCCTCAACGGTGGTGAGACTACTGTCGCTAGCAACACTACTACTGTCGTTGCCAACGCCGATGGTGTCTTCACTTTCAGCCTCCCTGAGCTTAGCGTTGCTGTTCTTGATACTGAGGGTTCCAAGGGTAACCAGACTGCTCGCGCTATTAGACGCTTCCACGCATGAAATATGCGGAAGACAGAATAGTTGACCCCATCGTGTAATGCATCCCGCGAAAGTTGAACAAGACATATGAGTCAATAAGGATTTTTAATGACTGCTTTACTCACTTCTGCTACAGTGACTTGTTAACTATTAAGACCACGCGCATAAGGGTCAAAGTTGATTGAGCGCGGGGCATACCTGTGTCCAGTCCTTGATACGCTCAGCGCTGCAATGATATGCAAGCAAAGGATCTCTCTCAGAAACGGCTCTGGATCAGTCTTTTCCAATCAAGCCTCGCTGGGATGAACTTGCTCAAAGGTGTGAAACAGCACATGCAGTCTATAATGAGGCTGTATGGCTGAAATCGGGGCTTTGTGTCTGGTGCCATGCGGGCTTACTAGTAAGCCGCTGACTGTCAGATTTCGACCTTACTTGCCTATGACACTCAGTGCTTTAGTAATTCAATCATTTAAAGCACCATAAAGCTGGACGAATGGCATCGACGGCGATCCAATTCCAGCAGAACCATTGCGAAGCCACATTAGGTGCATGTATACATGCATAGTACTTGGATCACCTGATTGATTCACTTGGGTGATCAGGCTCCGGAGCTGACAGCGTGGCCTTTATCGATTTTCCAGACAATACGAAGATGATCGTTTCTTTTCCGAGTACACCATACTTCTTTAGTTGCCGAATTCACTTCGTATCGCGATGTCTAGATGGCACGAACGCGGCTGCTCCCGACCTGATGTTGTGGTCTGCGGCGGCCTTCCATGTTGTCGATTTTGCTACGGAGTAGCATCGATTGACGATGTCCAGTTTGACACTTCTCTCAGATCAACACAAGCTCCTGTCCTTCAAAATAACTCCGAGTACAACCTTCGGTGGCCTTCTTGCGTTGACTACACCGACTCTAGACCAGAAATCCCGTCGAGCACCTTTGCTAGCTCGAGCTCAAGCTCCACCTTTCCTCTCGGAGGAAGGTCAAACCCTCTAATAACAAATTCTCCTTCGAAGAGACCAGACCCGCCTTCGAAAGAGTTTCCGACGGCAGAAGAGTCACGGGCGAAGCGAAGAAAAATCTTGATCGCTGACGAGTTGTATCGCCCTTCAAGATGTTACCCGATGCTGTGGAGCAGCCAGGAAATACGAATGTTGGAGCTCGACTCAGGAGAAAACAGTAGCCTCCTGCATGGAAATTTTCAAAATGTGCTGTTGGAATCCAAGCAGGAAATACGAATGTTGGAGCTCGACTCAGGAGAAAACAGTAGCCTCCTGCATGGAAATTTTCAAAATGTGCTGTTGGAATCCAAGAGGGCAAGATATGAGGCCCTTTCATACACTTGGGCCGATTCTTCTGGAGACTCTGTTAGGCGCAGACCAATGTTCATTGGACCATACTGGGATATCATCCCCATTACTCGGAACTGCGAAAATGCTCTCCGTAGCGTTCGACTGGTTGGCGGTAGCTCTCGGACTCTTTGGGTTGATTCTCTATGTATCAATCAGGACGATAAGGAAGAGCGAAATGCTCAAGTCGCTCTCATGCCACAGATATACGCCACGGCTATTGGGGTTTTGGCATACCTTGGCTCAGCTACTGATGACAGCGATAGAGCCCTCACGGCTATATTCAACTCAATGTCTCATCGCAACTGTGGTCACAACGGGGAAGAGAGAAAAGCTTGTGCAGAATGCGAAGGACCTATCCAGATGCTTTTTAGTCGACAGTACTTTCGGAGGCTGTGGGTTGTTCAGGAGGTTGTTCTGAGCAGAAAGCTGACGCTTTACTGTGGCTCAAGGTCAACTCCTTGGCCTTTCTCGGGAATATTGACCCCTTTTGTTCACAATTCCTGGATTATCACACGGGACAAAGCTACACTCTGTCCTCTACGAAATCTTCTCGGCCTCATGATAGACACTAGCGACTGTTTATGCAAGGATCCCCGGGACAAAGTATTCGCTCTGCTAGGCTTAGCCTCGCGATGGAATACGTGGCCAATCTACCCCGACTACAAGCTTACCGTGGAAGAGGTCAGCATTGGTATTGCGGCATATTTGACGCAGAAATGTGGCCTCGGCTTGGCCGTTCTTCTCTTTGCAGGTGCAAACCGAGCTAGGCGGAGCACTCTGCCCTCCTGGATTCCAGACATACAGGTACCGTTTCGTGAACGGGGCAGTGGTGGAAACCTTTACGAGAGGCTCGTAAAGTCCGGAAAAATTGAGGGGAGTGAGAGGTCCAGGTTCGATAACGTCGTGTTGAACATGGGAACTCTCTCCTTGCAATTGCCCTCTCCCTTCGATATTCATATCATGTCGCGAAGCGGATACTTAGAGGTCACGGCAATCAAAATTTGCAATCTTCGGAGTTTCTTCACTGAGGACGGTCGATATCGGCATTCGTTCGTTCGACCTGGATTCAAAAACGGTCCGGAAATGAAAGTTACACTCATTCTCCCAAAACCATCACGCATATACCGAGATACCAATGAAATTGACGTCTCCCACCTCATACAACAAAATGACAATATTGTCTGGCTTCACGGCATCCACGGGTATGCAGTGCTACGGTCAACCTGTGCCTCTTCAGCTTACCGTCTTCTGTGTGCCTGTGATCTACAATTTGAAGACCTCGACACAGGTGAAGTGGCAAAAAACATGAGCTTCAAGCCTTTCAGCCTAAGCGAGCAGGCACAACTGGAAGAACATAAGAGGTATCTCATTGAAGGTTGCCGCTCCATTGTCGGAGGAGACTTTGTGCAGCGGATGTTGGAGTTGCCAGCAGAGCCTCTCTTGTTGAAGCTCGTCACATATATCGCCCGTCATAAGACCGATTCAGAAATGCGTCTTTGGGAGATATGGAAGCAACTCGAAGCCAAACTGAAACCTTACCTTGAAGATGAACGGGGGGTTCAGCTACTATTTCGTAGTATAACTGGGGCAGAGCATATCACGCTTGGAACCTGGCAAGACGGTAGGCCTCGACAGGCCTTCGTTTACAAAGGTTGTATGCTGAGATCCTCGGAGTCCCTCTTAACCCTCCTGTGGTCGTTGTTACCTAAGACGAGGCACCGCGTCAACAAAGCTGTCGATGCGGAGAAAGTCTCACTTTCGGATGAAGAGCTACTAAAGGGCTTTCAAGAGTGGGCGGACATAACGAGTGACCTCTTATTTGCCATGGCCCATTCTACTGAATTCGAGGACGAGCATTGTTTTGGAATTCGGTCATCTGTGGAGATGCAACAAGGCTGGCTGAACGCATGGGATAGGTTCGAAAACAAGATGCTACCTCAACGTAGCAACATCATTGGGAATATGGGGGCCATTACCTGCACCTTGAAATTATTTCCGCACATGGAGCAGGAACATGAGCAGTCACACCCTTCCAGTTACATAGATGAAAGGCTGGGCTCTCAAACAAGAGAGATAGCGTGGTCACACTCTACGAGAGACTGTTTGTGGGACTGGGAAGTAGCAGGACGCAATTTCATGAAAAAGTGGGAGATCCTGCATCACTTGGGCCAACACCAGTGGTTAGCTTCGTGGCGAGATGGGCCAACTGATAAGCTCGATGGACTGGAGCAACAAATGTCGATTCGCTATCGACTGAATTCCTTTGGATTCAACCTGACTTTGCCTTCCAAGATTACGATCCAGTAAGTTCCGCTAGATTATCAAGATCATAAACCGAAACATAAAAGAAGCCCGAGTGGTCGCAATCTCTTTGCTTTCTTGGGCACATCCAACAAGGACTTTGCAGTTGCGTCGGATTGCGCTGTAGGCGTATGAAACATTGAAACCCAGGTTCCTTTAATAGTGATCGGTTTTGTAGTGAACATGAAGATATTGATCAGAGACCTGGGAGCTCGCCAGATAGAAACATCATCGTCTCGGTTCAATAGAACTGGCTCGGCTTGTTCAAGGAGCACCGCCATCCGAAAACTTCAATTCTTGGCCGGAAACACCCTTGAGCACATTTCCAATACCCGGCACTTCGCCGTTTCCACCTTGCATAATCGCAGCATAATTATCAGCAATGAGCTGGATTCCGGAATCAAATCCCTTCTCATCAAATTGACAATGGCCTCCGACTGGCTTGTTGTTGGCTGTCTGAAGCTTGTTGATTGCTTCTGTCTTCATTCCCTTGTCCTTGACAGTCTTTTCGTACGCCTTCATGGTAGCGGAGATTGATCCTTGCAGGTGCTGAAGCTCCTTCTGGGTGCTTTGATAGTGAAGCCGAGTTTTCATAAGAGCGTCGCGAGAGGACTGCGATACTTCGACGCGGGGTTCCATGGCACCGCAGCCGAGCATCACCCCATTCCCGGCGAAGTTACCCATATGCGCCGGCATGAAGTATCCAGAAAGCAGGAGAGATCCGCCTGAAATCCCAGAGAAGAAGACATTAGAGGAATTGAAGGCCATGTACTTTGGCAGGGTCTGGAAGACGAGATCGTTCACTGCTTGAGCGTGCGCCACGCCGTCTGTGCGGTTGAACCCAGAACCCCCTCCCCAGTGGAGGTTTCTGTCCGGAGAAAGTACTGTGACACCCGCCAAATTGTTTTTTACGCCTTGATTTGGCATTTCGAAGAAAGACGAGCCGCTGTCACCGTGTAGCAGGACGTGAAGCCCGAGGTTGCCCTTCGCCCCTGTTGTCTTGCCGCCTCCGGGTACCTTGCTTGCAGTTGTAAATTCCCCAGCTGGACCACTGATGCGGAAGCGGATTTTCAAGTTGCTAGCTCAAAATTTAGCGATTGCTCCGTTGAAAATGCACGACAGACCTTTTTCAAGCTTCACTTACTTGATTGTCTCTGTAGTATCAAGGATAATCGAACCATCCTTTGCGGGCATAATACCTTGAGGTATCTTGTTCGCTCTGTCGGCAGGAGACTCTCCACCTGTCTGCTGTGGTAAACAGTGAACACCACTGAGGACAAGGACAAGCGCTAGTGTCAGAGCGCGCTGTAAGTGAAAGATTAACTCCATCTTATCTGCTATTGGTGACTCGATTCACTCTATGAGGCGAACTAGATAGGACGGAGGGTTTTGGTTCTTGACCATGATGTGGGAACAGCAGCCTCAAGGCCATATATCTTTTACTTCAGTTGTTCTACAAAAACATGCCTTCCTCCCTCATGAACAGTGGTGTTAGCCGTTTTGTCATAAAGGTTTCCTCGCAAAGAGTTTCATCTGAACTATGGAGGGATGTTTGAGGTCGGATTCGAGGCTGCCGGGGATGGGGACGAGTAAGGTGGAGAGCTAGCAAACAGATGAACAAGGTTTTTACTCGCATAGGTTCGTTCGTGATTTGTGGTCTACTCTGAGGCTGGGTGTTCTGCATTAAGCCATGGGAAGCCAGTTATGTCAACAAGTAACATCCTTGATATTGCGAGTTGGCAATGAAACGGTCGTCAACACAGCTCAACAGGCGGTAGATGCTTCTACTGCATTGATGTGAAGTTGACTTTCAGATCGGGAAATCCCATTGAGTCTCAATAGCCAGTCATAGCAGCCTTGAAAGCGGAATGTGTGATGCATCCTACGCAGATCTTCGCAAGAAGTAGAGCCAATCAGAGAGCGGTTCGATATTCCAGGCAGAGCACCGAAGCTGCTGTCAATAAGTGGAAGTTAATGTCGATGACTGAACATGGTCGACAGATCCCAGGGTCAGTTTCCTGTAGGCTTCAGCCATTTGCTGGATCTCAGAATAGCCTATTGGTGTTTCTGACGCATCTCCAGAATATTCGAAATGCTGCGATAAAGACTCCGGCCGGGATTCGACCGGCCGACGGCTCACACCCGCTCCAATGATCCAGTGTCAGTGGACCGAAGAACCCCCACCAAATGTCCCCGCCTTCGGACGACAGCGCACCGATGCGGAGATCTGTGGTTTTGTTCCTTTCGAATAAAGATCGCAGCTTCACTACTCATACGTATTACTGGTTTCTAATTCAACCTTATTGTTATTTCCAAGTCCTTCAAACCAGCAAACAATACTGCCAAGATGTCGATGTCCACTGAAGATTGCGCAAAGTCCCGGGAGGGCTTCCCCCGCCCGTTCCCCAACACACCATCCAACGTCCTAGACCAATTGAAAGTGACGGGCAAAGTCATCGTGGTCACTGGTGCTGCTGATGGTATTGGCTATGCTGTTTCCGAGGCCATGGCAGAGGCCGGCGGCAATGTTGCCTTGTGGTACAATTCGTAAGAAAAGGCCTCTCTAGCATCCTGCCTTGTCTTTGGAGCTGTTCGATGACTAATGACGTCACAGAAATGACGCTGCAATTCAAAAGGCACAAGATCTAGCAAGCACACACAGCGTCAAGACCTCGGCTTACAAAGTGGATGGTTGGTTTACCGGATGGTTGATTGGTAGTAGAAATATGAAGGCTAACATCCATCTAGTGTCTGATTCCAACCAGGTTCAAGAGACTATTGCGAAGGTATTGAAGGACTTTGGCAAGATTGATGTGTTTGTTGCCAATGCTGGTGAGTGATGCCGCGCTCAGCACACGCTTTAGTTCGCGCCGAGTTGTGGCTAATTTCACGGCAGGCATGGCCATTTCAAAGCCCATTCTGGAGCAAACCCTGGACGAATACAGGAAACAGATGTCGGTAAATGGTAAGTTAGCCAAAGAAATCAAAGTCAGGAATTATTGCGCTGACATCTTTCTTAGTGGACGGAATTGTGTACTGCTCCAAGTATGCTGGTGAAGTCTTCAAGAGCCAAGGCTTCGGTAATCTCATCATCACTTCGAGCATGAGCGGTCACATCGTAAACGTCCCTGTTGACCAACCCGTCTACAACGCCACCAAGGCGTACGTCACGCACTTTGGAAAGTCCCTAGCCCGTGAGTGGAGAGAGTTTGCCCGTGTCAACATTGTATCTCCAGGCTTCTTCGACACCAAGATGGGTGCTGGCCCAGATGCCTTGCAAGAAGCATACCGCATGGCAGCTCTGGGCAGACAAGGCCACACTAAGGAGATCAAGGGCCTGTACCTGTATCTAGCGAGCGATGCTTCTACTTACATGACTGGTAGCGACGTACTCATTGACGGCGGCTACGTCTTGCCTTGAGCGATCATATGTCAAGAAGACGCGGAGTTCGGGGCTATTATTAGGAGCGGTAGAGATAATAAAATGCGCTCGATATCCACGACTCGTCTCAGACCACAGAAAGGACATTGATAATTTCATGGGTGGGCTCTATTTGAGGAATGATATAGATAGTTGACATTGAACTATAGCCTATCGACTTAATCATTTCGATGCGTCGCCACCCTCCACATCCTTCCCATCATGCAAGTGCCCGCAGATCCTCCTCAAAGCGCTGCATCCCATTCTACTTGACCTGAGCACCTTCACAGACGCGAGCTGCCGTGCACAAATTTCTTATCGAAGTCGATTCCAAGATCCTCGAGCACCCTCTTAGCTACCGGACGACCACCACCCCAGACACCTCCACCTGGGTGCATGAAAGGTCCGGCAAGGTACAGACCCTTGATTCCAGGCACACGGTACTGAGCGAGGGCAGGGGTAGGTCGGTTGATCCCCATCTGGTCCGCCGCCATGGAAAGACCGGCAATATCGCCGCGTTGGAAACTTGCGCTGTCGGACTGATGGTCCGGAGGCGCAACAACATGATAGGAGCGAACGATGTCGGGAGTAAAGTTCTCTAGGTACTTGGAGAAATAAGAGAAGACTCTCTGCACCCAGTCGTCCTTGATGCGATCCCACGCGGCCCAGCCGCCGTCAGCAGGTTCTGACTTGCACATGACAACACAGTGCAGCAGCGACTTGCCTGGCGGGCAGCGAGTCTCGTCACCTGAGCTGATACAAGAGGCTCCGATCATGATATTCTCTGGGAGAATTCCTTGATTCATTTCGTCGTAGCTCTGGATAAGGTCTTTGAGGTTGCCAGGGCAGCAAGTGTTCATGACAGCCTTGTCGGCGATTGGCCCGGCTTTGAACTTGAGCGGGCGTTCGAGAGCGGCATGAACGACGAGTAGACTGAAGTCAGAGGTGCGAGTGTTTGAGGCGGCTGATATGATTGACGGGTCGATTCCATCGACAAGATGCCCAAGATTGTGGGGGTGGATTTGACCGATGACGGCCTCTTTCGCCCTCAACTCCCCAAAACGAGTTCTGGCTCCAACGGCACGTCCACCTTCGGTGATGACCTTGATGACCTCCGTGTCCAACTTGACATCGCCACCATGGTCTCTGAGACAGCGAATGACAGATTCCGTCCACACAGATCCGGAGCCCTCGGGGACGCAAAGGCCATAGATGTCGAGAAGTCCAAAGGCCAGGTAGGCCATCAAGCCTGTTCCGGTCGTTTTTGGGTGAGCGAGCTGGATCTCAGTTACAAATCTCAGTAGCGCAACTTGGAGAACCTCGCTCTTGAAGTATCTCTGAATGATCTCCAAGGAGGAACTGGTTGATGCCATGGCAATTTCCTCGGCTGACGGGCTGCTAGCAATATCCGCCGACATGTCGCGGGGAGGTTCGAACATAGAGGGCATCAGAAGCTCGGTGATTTGTCGACATTTGTCCACAAAGACGTTGTAAGCATCGGCGTCTTCCGACGAAAACTCTCGAATGGCATCGACGGTCCTGTGGCGCTCTCTGTAGATGGGCAGGACCTTGTCTTCCATGACTATGGCATAGCATGGGTCTAGCTGCTTGTAAACGAGGCCGTACCGAGACTGCAAACCAAGTTCATCGTGAGTGATCATGGGGTTTGCGAGGATCATTTGATGAATGGCGCTGTGACGTTCGCTGATATATCCTGGCTCGGCCATCTGGAGGCTGGCCACCCCACCTCCAGGGTAAGAAGCCTTTTCGAGGACAAGGACCTTCTTTCCAGCTACCGCGAGATATGCGGCTGCGGTCAAGCCATTATGGCCGGATCCCACGACAATGATATCCCATTCAGTCATGGCTGGCGAAGAGGTGAACCTTCCCACTTTGGAGAAATCGGTGGCCATGGTGAAAAAGAAGCGCGGTAGGTAAGTCTTCCAAGTGAGGGGGAGCTATCGGCTAATGGTACTGATAGTATCCTAAGATTCGACTCGCGTTGAAGTCAGGTGACAGAGGAACGAACTGAAGTAGGATAGAAGAGTATAGCATGAAGTGTGTAAGAGAGCGTATGGCATCATGGGTCGCCTTTATAGTCAGTACATTTACACCAGATTACTCCCGGCACCCTGGAGGACCGGGGCCAATGCTTTACGTTGGCACCCTAGTTGTTGCAATCTTAAGGTGCTTTACACATTTCTCCACCAATTTTGACATACGAATACCTCGTAAAGGACTAGGGAGCGCTTGATCAATCTGTACCTGAGTTGTCTTTCAGTCCAGGTGGCGTAGAGCCAAAGGACGACCTTTTCCTTAGTAGTGACGTGAGGGTCGACGCTTCGATAGGTGTGACGAGGGTGCATCCTCTATGGATTGGCGACTGCAACACGAATCGCTGGTATGAGTCTCTATCGCTACACCGCAAATCGGTGACGGACAGTTCGTAGAAGCCGATCTTTTCATTCGGCCAAATCGTGAGCTGACACGCCGGTAGTTGACTCGGGCCGTCTTGTGCATCCGTGCTAGATGCCGCCCCCACAAACTCTGTCCCCGCGATTCTCTATTCCGAGAGGGGTATATAGAGCTACGAGAGTCCCCCGCAGCCTCCGAAAAACCCTCGAGTTCTTTATGGCCACTACCCCGCAACCTCCGACGACACCAGCCTGCCTCAGCAACCACCGGTGGCAACTCCATAACAGGTCGGGAACTCAGAGTGGTAACAGAAGACGTTTGCGTTCTACTTCCCCTGCTTCCGATGGGGTTGAAGCGAGACCATGGCTCTGAAATGTGACATCTGTCAAACCGAGTTCCGCCGTACGGAGCATCTCAATCGCCACGTTCTTCGTCACCTCGGCGTCCGCCCTTTTGCGTGTCCGACATGCACCGCTAGCTTTGCCCGAAGGTAAGATGTTCCGAGCGACATCCATCTCGTATGCCTTCAGGTTGCTAGGTGTACAATTGCCTCGTTAAGGAGACCCTACGCGAATCAAGTGGCTGATCTTCAACCCCGGCAGAGACTCTCTTCAGCGCCACATGCAGGGTCATGTAGACGTTGACTCTCCACCCACAGGCTCCGATACTCCGAGAAAAACCCGCCGACATTGCGTTCCTAAAGCTTGCCAAAATTGCGCGCGCTCGAAACAGCGTTGTGATGGTGCCAACCCCTGCGCCAGATGCAAGTCCAGAAATCGTTCTTGCCTTTATGCAACTGACGACCGGCGTAACCCTGATTCCGTCCAGGATTTTGGGGCACCAGCATCTGATACTGGGGAAGTCTTTGATGGGTTCAGTCCATCAGGTGTTCCTCGTCAGATTGCAACAATCGATAGAAGAGAGGGTGTAAGTTACTCCCGCCTTATTACTTCCTCCATGAAACCCCTTTTGTGGATCAGGGGAACAGTAGTCTGCGGTCAAACTTACGCTAGTTTGTAGTTGCCAGAGTCTCAAGTGGGAAACTCGCAAGAACAGCTGTCTCAAGACCCAGCCCCAGATACCAGAGACAATTTCCAAGCTGCTCTCTGGAACCAAGATGGCCTCCAGTTGGAGTTGGATCCGCTATTTTGCACACCAAGCCAATGGTGCTTTCCATTTTCGACAGCTAATGCATGGCTGAGCTGGGATGATTTCCTGAACAATGAGTTCGCAACACAAGAAAATACCAGGATCGCTTCTATGGCAGATGGAAATGGCTTGCGGACTCAGCTTATCTCGGAACATGCATCGAACGAAAGACGTGAAGAAGCCCGAGATTGCTCTGTTCATGCAGAACCAGTAGATGACCCGGTGTCAGAAACAGCTATACAAGAACCTACGCCGGCTTCTCTTTTATCAGAAGATACCCCAAGGGCAATTTTTACCAATCACTCCCAACTTTCTTCTACTTTCGCGAATGCTTTTCGGCGTTCATCGGCTTTCAGTCGAGATTACGGCGACTCCACAGAGATTGAAGAGAACCAAACCCGTCGAAAAAAGCACTTCGTTACCCATGGCCTCGAAGATCTCGGTCGAGTTGCAGGTTCTTCTTTCCATCCTGAAGGTGTTGATGGACATGAGGAGGACTGGGATCTCGAAGCCTACGACCATGTTCCGCGCTTAAGCCCGCAGGCTTACTCGATTCTCCAAACACAGTTTGAAAAGCTGAATGCGGACACAGATTACTGCAAAGCATTCACGGATAAGTCATTTCCGTCTCAAGAGGCCATTGGCGTATACATCCAATCTCACTTCGAGCACTACCACCCTATCTGGCCTTTGCTCCATCAAAGAACTTTCGACCCAGAGCGTGTTCATTGGATACTCCTTCTCGCCGTTGCGGCGACAGGGTGCGGGTTTTCGAAATTTGGCACACTAAGTGATGTCTTCCTCTTGCAAGAGTTCCTGCGGCGCTCGATCAACCTTTGTGTAAGTTCAGGTCGAAGCCTGTGGGTGTATAGAAGGCAGTTCATACTAATAACCCGTACAGTTGGACCTTGATCCTGAGCCGGATGCGGCTTCAGAGTTGTGCTTGACACAAGCTGTACTACTGAGTCAAATAGGTTTGATGTTTTCTGGAAGCATGTCTTTCGCCGAACACGCCCAAAGAAACATGTCTTTACTCGCGACACTTTGCCGACGAGCAGGCTACTTCAGTGAAACTCAATCACTCTCTGAAGATATTGTACCCCTGCCAGCCAATTGGAAAAGATGGATTTGCGCGGAAAGTAAAAGAAGACTTGTACATCTCTCATGGGTAATTCTCCGAATCCCGTTTCCATCCTGTAACCGCTCAAACGCTGACACCGCAATGAATATCAAGCTATTGGACGGTCAGCTGGGCTTGTTCTTTGACTTGCCTCCGACTATACCTACGGATCTCCTACTACTTCCACTGCCGTCTGACGAAGGACTTTGGGCAACAGATTCTGCAGAAATATGGGCAGATCAAGCCTCCAGATCACCAGGTGAGCAATGCCCCGTACGCCGCAAATGGTGAGCAAGATGCTTACTAACTGGCAAGACTTAGCCAATGACAGCCTTCTTCGAGAGCACCTTGTTCACTTCCGGTGTGATGGGAAGGTACCGAAAGGCTTGAGTAGCTTGAATAGGCTGTTCCTTACTTTTGCCGTGTATCGAGACTCCGCAAACAATCAAGACGCTATTCACCACCTTGAAGTCTTGCGTGGCGACGAAGACATACAGCCGCCGACCGACAAAATTGAAAGGATCACACTTCAGCACAATCACGCTTTCAGTCTCCTTCTCCATATGCCTCTACGCGTGCTCACTGCATTTTCTGGCTGGGGTGTTAGCCCTCAAGTTAGAGAAGCTGCAGACCGGAGACTTTCTCTATGGCTCCGCCAGAATAAGGGAAAGGCGCGTGCGATTGTTTATCATGCCGCCAAATTGTTCTCGTATATTCGAAATCATCCAACTGGTGGTCACCATGAGAATAATGCCTTGCTGTACGCCACACTCTCCATGTGGATTCACACTCTTTTCAACAGGCATCAGACGAGCTCTCTCAGAACTCTTCGTCTTGATAGAACAAATCATCAAGGGGCCTTGGTTCAATGGCTTTCAGAGGACAATGACTTCCGACTATACGTGGCGGGCATTGGAGATCTGAATAATGAACGTGCATCCGATCGCTTGGTCCAAGAGAGTGTGCGGATTTTGACTCGGAAGTCGGGCTGGTCTCTGGGTTTAGCTGTAAGCATGGTCATGAGGGCGCAATGGAGATCGAATCGTGGAATACGATGATAATCTCTCTTGCTTGGGGTTTCCATTTGCTACCCTATTGTTAAGAAATCTTTGTCGCTATCAGGGACCTCCGGCATTACCAGGCAATTGGATTGAAAGTGTAATACTATTCAAAGACAATCAAATATCACCATTTATAATTCTGAAGTCAATTCGTAGATCACTCATGTTGCAGTTCTCACGGTGCCTTGAAATATTTACAGTAAAGCTAGAACTCCAAATCCTTCTTCACCACAATATTCTCATCTCCGATCACCGCAAAAGACTTCTCTGCGTCAAAAGACTTTGGCAACTTCTTGAAAAGGCTTTCTAGCTTGCTCTTCTCGCCTAGGAATTTTGCCGCGGAGGCTCGGTCCGGGAACCAGTACTGCTCGAAAGCAGCCATCGTGTGCCAGTCGGAAGTGGCAAAAGGCGTTCCGGCGAAGAAACTGGCAGTATCCTCGGGGGTGACTTCTCGGTTGAGGACATATCTCATCAAAGTTGTACCAGCTCCGAGTTCTGTGATGGACGCTGCTCGACTAGTAAGGTCGTTTTCGGTGTAGGTTGCGTCTTGGGACTTTGCTAGGAAGACCAGTAGTAATGCTGCTTTGGTTCCACGCTGCTCAAAGAGGATGGGGTCAAACACACTCTCCGCGAAACCTTGACTGAGAATGCCAGTCTGTGCTGAAGTGTCTGCGAATTCGTGTTTACCAGCAGAAGCTTTGTACTCGGGAGCTTGGAATGAGCCCCAGAGACCTTTCAGTGACGTCCACCCGAGGGTCGTCACAGCATCCCACGGCTCCAGACCTCCATTGGGTACGCTTGGGACACTGAGATGAGGGAGTGCGACAGCCTGAGTATAGTTCCGGAGGATGGGAACCACGTCGGAGATATGCTTCGTCATTGCAGCATGGACGCTTGTGTATTCCTCAAGAAACTTGTCTTCCGCCCAACCAGGGATCCGTCTGCAGGCAATTGTCATCTTGACAAGAGGCCTCTTTTGGCTATACGCTTCTTTAACCGGTGGGATAACGGGCAACAACAGATGTGAGTCGTATTTTCCGCCGAAATGGATGACATGGCGTCCTTTGTTGATTGTAGAATTATGCCTGGGAATAGGAGCACCTGGCGGGTATTTGCCGTAGTCGTGTCCAGAGACTACGAGGCTAAGTCGCTCTCCCGCCCGGAATCGACAACTTGTCGGCTGGATCTCGATCTCCACAGGCACTACATCTCCTGCTTTGAGAGGCTCCAGATCTCTTCGATGGAGATGAACTGGCTTCCATGGGGTCGAGGCTGTCTCATCCAATTCGCGCCGGGAGGCTCGAAGCCAACCGAAACCAATGGGGCCGGTATCGACGACTGTGATCCATGGGAAGTAGACATCCTTTCCATCTTTATCCTTCTTTCGCAGAGTTATGAAAAGATCCAGGTTCTCGCCACCATCAGTCACTTCAACCCAGAGTTTGAGCTTGGAATGGCCTGCAAACTCAAGGGAGTTTCGAAGAGGAAGCTCAAAGGCAACCTCACCCTCGATGGCATCGTATGATGTATGGCTCTCTGCGCGCTGAGCAACCTTGCTCAAGCCAAGGCTTGGTGTTGGGAAGTACTGCGTATACTGTGTTTCTGGAATTGGGAATGCGTCGCTGTATCGCCATTCTCCAGTGTAGTAGCGTTCCCTCATGGTGTAACGAACTTTGGGCCAGTACTGAATTTCTGTCGATAGCCCGAGCAGATAATGATCGAGGAAAGCCTTCTGACGGGCCAACGACTCCTCAGTAACCGACCACTCCCATCTATCATTCATCACACAAAGGTTAGAGATGCTACTTTTGGCGGTGACAGTGGAGAAAGACTGACTTTTGGTACTGATGGATCTCGAGATACTTGTCCTCAGAAGCAATCTTCTCCCAAGCGTTGAGTGTCCCACGTGTGTGAATAGCATGATCGCCCCATCCGCAAATGATGTATGCCGGGGCTGTAATCTGAGAGAGAGCTGGAATCTTGCTTTGCCAGTACTCATCGAAGTATGGGTGCGTCTTGGCCCCATCCGTCGTATCCTCGACAAGATTCTTTCCCCAGTTGAAGAAGTACGGATAGCTTCAACCATTTTCAGTTAGCTCCGCTTCCTGAAAGGTCTAGTTCAAGGATATTCCGACTGAGGAAGAAGACTCACACGGCACTAAACTGGGTTTCGGGAATTCCGCCCTTCAAAGCCATTTCGCGATACATGTCAGTCATGCCGTCGATTGGAATGATGGCCTTTTATCATTTGGTCGTTAGCAATTCAAATTGATCCGAATCAGGGAAAGGAACACATACCGCAAGGGATGGAGGTTGTTCAGCTGCTACAAGCCAAAGAACCATTGCATAGCCACTGGCTCCATACAAGGCAATCTTGCCATTTGACCAACTCTGCTCTGCAAGCCATTCAACAAGATCGTATCCTGCGGGGATAATTCAGCTTAGGATTGAATCCTCCCCCAACGATAATGTTAGGAGATATGAAGATAGGTACTTACCATCGATTCCGACATCTCGCGAGTAGTAGCTCTTGTCGCCATCCGACTGAAAACAACCCCTGGCGTCTATGCTGGCAACGATGTACCCGCGAGGGCACCACCATCCCGGATCCGCCGCTTCGAACTCGTAGTCTTTGGTGATACGGGCTTTGTCGAAGCCTGCACTTGGTGGGAAAACTGCAATGTCGGTGGCGCCGTCTTTACTGTACACACTGTAGTTGAAGATCACGGGAAGCTTCGTGCCTTCAAGATGGCGAGGCCGGTAAATGTTGCCTCGCAGGATTGTACCGTCTCTGACTGGGATGGCAACATCCATGTCTGAGACGATGTGATCATCTTTGACGATACGAGGATTGGCATCCTTGACGCCCATTACCTGCGGGTCCCAAGCTGTGGGTGATATTAGCAAGTACTTCAGGGAAACACGGCATGTATCGTTCCGAGTGGATCTGGACGGTAACTAAGATCTCACCTTTGATGAACTTTCCCAGTCTATGGGTCTTTGCCAGTTCGGTCTTGAGAAGTTCAACACCAGCCATGTCTTTTAGGTCTTGTTTAGTTATCGATCAATGATAAGAGATTGTAGTTGTTGGAGAGTGGGAAGAGTCTATGGGATTGCGGGATGAATGTCTATAGGATCAATGACAACTTGTATTCAGTATACACCTCAAGTGTAGCTCATATAGTCTCGCTATTGCTCTCTGACTTCAATAATATCACCGAAGTTTCCGACTCTAATGACAAATGCGATCTGAGACAACCCCAGAACAAAGTGAACATTGCGGGGATCGGAAATCGTGGGGTAGCGGGGCCGACGCCGGTTGGCGGGGCCGATGATAGTTTGCATCTCGGCAGCAGCACTCGGCTCCGGGTTGTGCAGCGCGGGGAATATGGGGAATCGTGATCCTTAGCTCGCGGTAGTACATATGAGCCTTGAGAGCGGGTTGCTTTATGTTTCAACTAATCACACAGAGACAGATACGTGAATTCTTTTGGTCGTCTGTCATCTGTCATTGTCATACTCCTGTCGTTGGAGCTGAGAATTTGTAGGGGCATTATGTAATAATATTATCTGTGGCTAATGATAGAGTAGAACCTTCTATGAGCTCGTTACGTGCGTTCATGCCGTAAACCACAGATCCCTCTCCCAGATTTCCTTAGTGGTTGCACTGGCTGGCGGGCTTCTGGCCCTTGACACCCTGAATGCAGTTGTTGGTGACATCAAGAACGTGATTCTTCAGCAGAGCAGTGCAGGCCGGTCCCAGGGTTCCGCTGAAGTTGTTGCTGGTGAGGTTCAAGACTCCCAGAGTGTCGAGCTTGCACAGTCCCTCGGGAACTGATCCGGACAACTTGTTATCGCTAGCGTCAAAGACCGTAAGGTTCTTGATGTTATAATCTCTAGGAAGCGATCCAGACAATTGGTTGCCAAGGAGGAGAATCTCCTGGACATTCTTCATGTTTCCAATGCTCTTAGGGATGGATCCGTTGAGCTTGTTGTTGGCCAACGTCAAGTAAATGACAGGGGAAGAGCCAACGTTGCTAGGAATGCTACCCGAGAACTTGTTGTCGTTCAAGAAAAGGACATCGAGGTCGAGGTTGAAAGCCTCCTTCGGGATGGGGCCGGAGAATTCGTTGAAACGCAGATCGAGGAAGGTCAAGTCGAGGTCGAAGACGCCAGTCGGGAAAGGACCGGAAAGCTTGTTGTTGCTAACGTCAATTTCCCACAGCCACTTGAGAGCTGAAAGGTCCTTGGGAAGCGATCCCGTGAAGCCGTTGCTGTTGGCGTGGAAGAAGGTGAGGTCGGTCAGCTTGTCAAGGAAGCCATCGAGGACCAGGTCCTTGCCCTCAAGTCCGAATCCGTTGAGATCGATCCCTGACAGGGCGTTATTTCCGGTGTTGGGGTTCTTAGCGCAGCTGAAGCCGTCGAAGTTGCACACGTTGTTTCCGGTCCAGTTCTTGGTGACTCCTGACGGGTCGACGGTGATCTTGTGCTTGAAAGATTGAACGAGAGAAAGATCTCTCCCCAGGTTTGAGCCACTGGAGGCGGCGGGCGCACCAAGCGCAACGGAGAAAAGGAGCGACGAGAAAAAGAGCGAAAGAGGAGCCATCGTGAAAAAAGAGTGTGTCGAGACGATCAAGCGAGTGAAGTCACGATACTCCCCGGCAATGGTAACATGGGACCGCCTAAGAACTTATATGTTTGCCAACCGGCCAGTCTGGATTCCGTCTGCCTACCTAATTTCTACTGAGTTTCGACAAGTCACCGGCTCGCGGCGCCTTTGAGTTTTCGTATTTAAGTGTATCACGACTCGGTTTTATTTCGCCCCCACAAATGTGCTGATGAAGTGAGCTGCGGTCGTTTATTAACCTTCGTGCTAAGGCGTCCGTGGGGCGAACAAGATGAACACACAATCAAACTGATAATTCCGCTTGGAACTCTCTAAAAGCAAAGCTCTCTTCTTCTACAAATTGTCTCGGCGAAGCGGGAATTGCTTTCTTCTCAATTAGCTTCACCGATACAGCTTCAAACACCTCTTCGAGGACTGTGCACCAAGTCAGAAGACGACAGATCGGTGTGTTCATTGGCAAAGTTCTAGGCGGTATGACAGCCTCCACAACGGATCCATCGCCCAGTAGCACAAAGACTTTAGCGTATTTCAGGCTACATTCGAAGGCTACAGCTACTTTATATGCAGCGAATCCACTGCGATGGCTTTCAACCGCAGCCAGCAGCACTGAGGCGTTTGTATGGGGACTACGAGACGGCCAGCGATTTAAACTAGAGATATGCGTCAACCCAGGATTTGGTAGGTAAATCTTCAAGGTCCGAAAGGTTGACAAGAACAAAAACCGCGGCAATATGATAGGTCAACTGACATTAACATCATGATCATTCAAACTTTGCCGATGCCCGACCGGCCTATTCTATATGCAGTCTAAAACACCGGCCTCAAATGCAATGTGCCATAGTACTACGAACGATGAAATCCGCCCAGCAGAATCTACTTCGTCTTCCGGCTTTTACATGTCAACGCGACGGCAACTCCTCACGGCGATAGCACTGGGCGTATGCTATTCTCGCCCGTATGTGACGCCAGCGTCTTTGTCCCGATGGACAGCTTACCAGCACAAGTTCCTGCTTATGATTATCGAGATCGCCCTTTACGTCCAAGGCAATGTGACACGGCGCTTCACTGTTGTACAAACGAACTCAAAATGAAACGGCGGTATCGTCGGTCATTATACGGTTCAGGAATCAGATTGAACGAATCTTATTTGACCCTCGTCCCTGATCGGACTATTCATTATGGTATCCCACGCTTAGCATTACTAGATCTCCCAAAAACTTTGTTGCAAATAATTTGTGCGTGAAAGAAGAGAAGTGAAAGGAAAAACCAATGTGTAGCCGTCACTGCTTACATTGTACCATTGACGGGACCGCTTCGGGCCTTGGCAGCGTCAAAGAGAGCCTTGATGTCGACCTGCCATTGCGCGAGGTCGGGTCGGAGAACGCGGCGATCGTAGGTGACGAGACCGTTGACTTCACCCTCGACATCGGTAGTCTGTGTCCAGACGCCGCCGCTGCAGGCGTACATCTCGACCTGCTCGCGGAACTCTCTCAGCAGGACGCGTCCGCGGTAGTTGTATGCTTCGAGGTTTTCGTTGATTTCGTAAGTGGCATTGATCGAGTCGATTGCCTGCTGAACGTTCCAGAGACTATGGAGTGTTAGTTTCACCTGATCGAACTCAAGCTTCACGTTAGACTTACTGCTCAATAGAGACGTTGTGTCCGATGCCACCAAACTCGCCCTGGAATCCGATGCGTCTGTTATCGTAGGGAGGCGAGGCGAGAGAGTAGAAAGGTGTGCCGCATTGAGGGTTAGCGTAGTGGTGGTTGTCAGCGTAGTCACCAGAGCCGTGGTCGAACCAGCCGCTGTTTGCGTTGATGAGCCTCGTCGGGTCAATCGCGCGAACAACGTCAACAAGTTTAGCCTCCGGGTAGGGTGGTGTTCTAAGTTGGCCCCAGCCTTCGTTGTAGATGGTCCAAGTCACAATGCTGGTGTAGCTCTTGTGCTCCTCGATCATGAGCTGAAGCTGACGCTCAAACTCGGCTTGTTGGTCTGCGTTGGGTAGACGAGCCGAGTTGGCCGTCAGACTTGGCATATCCTGGATGACAAGCAGACCGAGGGTGTCGCAGGCGTGGTAAAACAGATCCGGCTCCACCTTGATCTACGGATTGTTAGTCTCTGACCTTGAAGAGAAGCTGCATAGGACAGATGTTAGACATACGTGCTTGCGAACCATGTTCATTCCGATGTTTTTGAGAACTTTCAGGTCATATGTCATTGCCTCTACACTTGGTGGAGTGTGAAGTCCATCAGGCCAGTAGCCCTGGTCGAGGGTTCCAAACATGAAGATGAACTCTCCGTTCAGCAGCGGGCGGTTGACGCCGTCCACGATACCATGCGAGATGGTGCGGAAGCCAGTGTAGCTGAAGACCTCATCGCTACCCATCTTCAAGGTGATGTTGTACAGGTTGGGGTTTGTCGGGGACCAAGCATTCGGGGATGGCACGGTGAAGTTGAAGGCTGTTCCCGAGTTGCCGGTGCCTGTTCCTACGGTGTTACCGTCTGTGTCGAGAATCGCAATGGAAACCTCCGAGGAGGTGTTGGAGGAGCTGTGGACAAGCGCGTTCAC